AAAACATCCATCCAAGAGGAAATTAACATGTCCATAGACAATCAAACAATATTGATCTATTTAAACATATCATGACAAAGAGATACATCAAATGCAACTTTATTTACTACTTTGCTAATGACTCTAACTCCGAGAACAAGGGAACATAGGGAAGATAGTAAGGTATGCCAATGATTTCTGGCAGGATGTCACGTCTACCATATGGAATGTAATGTGTAGGGATGACATGAACTTTTTTGGTATCCATGTTATATGCGATGATGGCTCTTTCCACCCCAACCCCAACAAAGAAAATCAAATTCCATTCTAGGTGAACTATAACCGCGGTGTAGCACGACTCAAAATCAAAGTAACTCATTTGTTTCTTAGTCTTTCCAAACAACTTACGCAGGCCGATAGTATGCTTCAATGTCCATTTATTATTAGTACCATAGTCTTCAATGATCCAGATTGAAAGCTTGGACATATTGCGACCACCAACAATACATTAACACAAGTGACCCTGAGCTTGTTGGATGGAGCGTGAAAAACCACGTGGCCAGTTAGGAATTTTCCTCCATGCCTTTCCCTCCATATCCGCAGCAAGTATACGACGGTAACCCTCATAGAACCCAATATAGTGCAGACAACCATTAAGAAACAAAGTTGTTGATTTTGACAATGTCCACTCAGCCTCCTCGCCCCATTTAGATTCCTTAAAGATCCATGTTGTAGTTTTAGATGAGTAGATGTCCACACCCATGCACTAACCATCCTCCTCCATATATTCAAACACATGAAAGTGCGAGGAGGCTGTCGGATAGAACCCTAATCGAGCCTCACCAACAAAATGGATTCTAGGCGGCAGTACCTTCAACTCCTGGGTTGTCGTATTGCAGACGACATAGCGGTATTCATTAGCCCCAAGGCACCAGCATAGGATGAGGTCGTTGCATCAATCTAAGACAGCTACATTGTTCATGGTGAAGAGCAAGAAAGACAAGGAGGGGTAAACACTGGTGATGCTGGTGAAGTTTCTTTGGCCATAGATTCCATCATAGAAGAAGCCATCCATAGTCTAGGGCATCAACTTATGGTCGCCCGAGATGAGGCGTCTCTAGGAGCAATAGATATATTTGCAGCAGAACAAGGAGTGGGCGGGGAGGTGGTGGAGGATCTCGACAAAGACATCATCCATGAGGCTGGCCAGTGCGTTCCTCTTATTAGGGGCCTCCTCCATTTCCTCATGTGCATGCAGTCAGATGAGAGCTTGCTCAGAAATGAGATCACTGAGGAGGAAAATAATCCAACAAAGATACATCAGTGAAGTCCACAACTCATACCAAAGTGTAACTTTAACAACCATTAACAATTTTTATGGTATGACCTCATCTAAATTTAGAGTAGCATCATATAGATATATATAACTCAAACTAGAGTAGCAGTTAATGGAGCTGTAACCATTACAATTCTAGCTAAATCAAGTCTAGCCATCACACTTATAATTAGTACACGAGCTCAGAGCTTCTTCCATAGGAGACAGACAAAGATTAAGAGGACTACAATTACAACAGTTTTGAAGGACGAAGAGCGTGGAGCAGCTGTTGGGTTTTGAAGATAGAAGTCATCATCATGAAGTAAGGCTAGATTTGAGTAAATTATTGACTTGAAGGCAGCAATTCCTTCTTCATAGGAGTTGTACTTTTTATAACAAGCACCACAAAACCTATGAACATGTCTATGGCCATCAGGCTAGTTGTAGTAAACTCCTAGCTCATGGCCATCGAACACAACATAGCAGGAACGACTCATCTTAAATCTGCACAACCCGAACAGGCTATCTCAGTTTTCACAAGTAGAATATTAGTGAACAAGTGGTAGTGATCATAATTGGCATCAGTAGCAACATGTGCAGCTTAGACATTAATTAGTGGCCCCAGTCATGTGAATGATGGACACAAAGCATTGATTTGCTTTCGATGCCTTCATCTTGTTTGGAACCAAATGGATAACTTGGTTGTCAACAAGAAGACATAGAAAGCAAACATATGAGATGCATCCTAATACATCCAACAGCCATGTAGACATCATTGGCTCAAAAATGTGGCCTCAGATATGTTACAAGTTCAAAATACCATAAGGACTCACTGGTGGCACTGGAGCATACGAAACAGAAATATAGAATCAAGCAAGCACTAGACAGAAAAATAGTTTAAGGTAAAAACAAAGGGCATGTTTGTTTGCCTAGACAGATCTACAAGTGACACGCGTCGGCAGAAAACTAACCAGTGCCACCTCCTAGTTTTTTTCATCAGCATTGGCCTAACCAGATCTGAAACACTACACTATTTCTTGTATACCTCATGTTCAAGCAAGGACTAAAACAGTGAAGCAAATAGGAAAAGGTGAGAAAGAACACCTGCGGATCGGATCTGTCGCCTCTGCCGCGTTAAATGACGGACACAGACGCTAATGCCGTCGTGCTCCATCGGGAAGACCCGCCGCCTAGCCTCCAAAAGGAAGCCTGAGCCACCACAGCACACTAGGGATCCTCCATTGCCGGCGCCGCCGTCTCAAGTCAAACGGGCACAGATTTGTTCCTATTTGCGGGGATAGGGATATATCCAATATATAAGTCAACCTGTCCACACAGAGAACATATACTACTCCAAAGACATGTCTACACAACTAGGCATCTAGCGCAATGGTGAAGACGGTCTATTCCTTGCTCTAGGTCTTGGGTTCGACTCCCAGGTCTCATGGCTTTTTTAGTTTGAATTTATTAAACCCCGGCGGCAACAAGTGACACGCAAGCCATCGAGTCCCATAGGTCAGATGGAGATGGAGAAAGGTCCTACAGGTACACGTGACACGTAAGCCGTCGGGTCTCAAAGGTCAGATGGTCCCATAGGTACACGTGACAGGCAAACCATCGGGTCTCACAGTTGGATGGAGATGGAGAAAGGTGTCGTCGAGTTCCACAAGTCAGATGGAGAAGGGTCCACAAGCACAAGTGACACACAAGCCATCGAGTCCCACAGGTTGGATGGACATAGAGACAGGCCCCATAGGTTCGGGTCCCACAGGTTGGATGGAGAAAGGGTCCCATATGTACACGTCGCATGGAAAAAAGATCGAGTGGAGACTTTTATGATGAACTGTAAGCGTCACGGATGAGTAACTATAGGTCCCACAGGTACACGTCGGATGGAGAAGGTACCGTGTGGAGATCTATGATGAAGCACCATCGTTACTAATCAAATATTGTTCGTCACAGATCAGTAATTAATTCAATGACGAAGCCCTATTCATCACAGTTCTGAATAAGATCGTCACAGACTAGTAGGACCAGTCGCGCGAGTGATCTGTGACGAAATGATGTGCTATTCTGTGACGTTTTTATGTGACAATACCCGATTCCATCACGGATAAGGGGGGGCTCAAGGTTCGTCACGGTGATATATGACGAAATTGAAATTTTCGTCATAAAAAACGATTTTTTATGATGGTTTCGAATTCAACATTAATTTTTTCGTCATAGAAGCGGATATTCCTAGTAGTGAGACCAATGGGTCTTCACGGTGGTAATGAGGTTTCTTCTATGCTTTATTGTTGCATTAACATGGAAGAATCTAGAATTTTCATCCCCTAGCTTTACCCACCCGATGGTTTGCCTCTACCTCCAATATAACTTCTATTGGTGTAAAAGTGTGGTTAGTTTCTAGTCAAGAATCTATCTGAAATTCCACTCCTCAATGGCCTCTAACAGAGAAATGACAGTCTTGACATTGGAGATTGTGGCTTTAAGATTTGACAGTTGGGATTGCCAAGTCTTGAGGCTACATCTTAGTGCTTTAAACTTGGCAGTTAGGAGCATTATATTGTCTTGTTGAGGGAAGGATCTATTCCAAGTGCTTGCAACTAAGGGAAGAAAGCTCTCCTAGGTCATCCAAACAGTTTTTAAACTTGAAAATCTTTCCTTTTGGAATGAAAGTCTTGATTTTAATAACACACGGCCAATGATTAGAGGTCTCTATGATGAGCGACCGAGCAACAGTATGGGGATACCTGAGGGTCCAAGCAGAAGATGAAAAAAACCAGTCCAACCTCTCAAGGAGGGGAGGTTGCTGCTTATTTGTCCATGTGAACCACCTACCATGAAGTCGAATCTCCTCAATCCCTAAAGAACTATTGGCCTCATTGAAGAGCAACATTTCACCTGCATTACCACCAGGTCTATTCTTGTCGTCAGGCTTTCTTAGAAGGTTGAAGTCTCCAATAATAAGACAATCCACGTCATCAGGCATCTAGATATTGCCAAATCAGACTAGAAAGGCCTCCTTCCCCTCAGTATCACATGTCCATACACTGAAGTGAGGATCCAAGAGTCAACATTGTGGAGGGAAGAGAATTCAAATATGGCAAAACCTATTCTGAAAGATTTCAATGCCAGTAAAAACTAACGTCCTGTTCGTTTGGCTTATAAGCCGTACTTTTTCAGCCAACGAACAGTATTTTTTTCTCACAGCAAATCAACCAACGGTACTTTCAGTCATTACTTATGAGCCAAGCAAACAGGGCATAAGCTTTTCTAAATTATTGAAATGTGACCTAAAGCCCCTACCGAGGGGAGAAAACAAAAGGCATCAAAGGCACCGTGTCAAAACTTTCTAACGAAAGCTAAGTCAAACGCACTCCTTTTGGTTTTCTGCCGGCTGACAATCTTATTTCTAAGAGATTCCTACTTGTTTTCAGCATTTAGCTCTCTAATGTTCCAGCAAATAATATTGCAAGATTAACAGGCTGACTTTGGTTCATTTAAACAAAACGAGAAGAAGTTGGCTGTAGTACAATTATGCATACACTAAGCAGCCAACCCATCGCTGGTGCCCTTGTGACACTGCTGACACTGCTGACGTGGCCTCATCGTGTCATGGTCTTTGAGTCAAAAGTCAAAACTACCAACGGTGCAGATCCATCGTCCTCCAGTCTCCACACTCGAAGCCTCGCCGCCGCCTGCCATGCCGCCGCCTCTCCCAGCCCACGGCGGATCCGTCGCTCGTGCCGCCTCCATCCGCCTGCTCTGCACCGCCGTGGCTCCTCCTGAGACCGCCTCCCTATCCCACGCCCTCGCGCTGCCGCCCATCGCCCGGTCCCCCGATGCGGACGAGCTCGCGCGAGTCCTCCTCGCGCACCACAATCCATTCCACTCGGCTGAGTCACCGCTCCAGCTCCTCTCCGGCGGCGGCGTCTCCCTCACCGGGGATCTCCTCGTTCAGCTCCTCCTCCGCCTCCGCGGCGCGTCCAAGCTCGCCCTCTCGCTCCTCCACGCCGCGCGCCTCCACCCATCCTTCGTCAACACGCGCCCCCCGCCCGACGCCTACGACGCCGTGATCGACGCCCTCGCCCGCGCGCGCCAGTTCGACGCCGCATGGCGGGTCGTCGTTGACGCCTCCGCCGACGGCGCCGCTTCGCCACGCACGTTCGCAGTGCTCGCCAGGAGGTACATCGCCGCGGGTATGACGCGGCAGGCGGTCCGCGCGTTCGACGACATGGAGGCGTTTGTTGGGAGGGAGGCCAATTCTGCCGTGTTTGCCACGTTGCTCGACACGCTCTGCAAGTACAAGTACCCGAAGGTTTTTTATCTGGAAACCTATAGTTGCATTTTTGGTGATATGACTGTTGTTTGATTGGTTGGCTAGAACTTCATTTTTCAATATTTTGATGAAATGTGGTGTGTTTTCTGTGAATTGTTCATTTATATGCCAACTTTATCGTTTAGCCTCTGATGCTCTTGAACTGAATGAGTTCAGTGTAAAAGATTTTATCCTGAATTCTTGGCTTGTCGGAAACTTGTAGGCCATTTCTGTAGATTCGAGTGACAGTTCATTGCTTTGAAGTAGCCCCTTCATCTTCATATGAGATGTCATTCAGTTTCTGGAAATTGTGGAGTATATGGAGAAATATTAATACACTTGGTGTGGTAGATTTTTGGTTTTCTGTACGATTGGTATAGTTGACCCTACCTTACTCAAGGTTCATATATAGGAAGGGGAACCCAGGCGTAGTGGGATGTAGGCTAAAGTTGTTTTGGTACTTTTGCGCTACCTACGTCTTATTATGGATTTTGTAACCGGCTTTTCACCGGCAGGTCGGTAGGCCTTTTAGAAGGTGAACAAACGAAAGTTCTCCGCGGGCGCTAGTGCTATCTTGTTCGCTTTTGTCAACTGAAGTCACACGTAGTGCCAACTAACTGATAGCTGATAGAGCGCGGAGCCCTGAGTCTGATTATCCAACATACTGCGGCTCTTTGTGGCCTGGCTTCAAGATCCTAGCTTCTTATTGTAGTTTGGTGTCTGTTGTATGCAGTTTGGCAGGTCTGAATGAATATTGGTGTTCCATGATTGTAGTTTAATGGTGATCGGTGTGTATTAACTTCTAATGAAACTGTTGTTATCTGCTATTTGGATGATTTATTCAGTTTCTGACCTTTTTGTTACATTCTGATGCATACAAGTGTTTGCTCGGAGATTATCATGTTATGATTATTTTGTGGTATGAGAGTTGCACACATGTTATATGACATGGGCTTCGGGTTTTAGTCTCATGTGAATCCTCAATATTCATATTTTCATATGAATTGTTTTGTGTTACGCTAAACATCACAAGTGGTTTATTTTGAGCAATAGATTACTAAAGCATATATATTGTCTCTGTTGGTTGCTTATGATCTCTGTCTAGGCCATCTTTGAGATCAACCACAATATGACAATTTATTATTCTAAAATGAAATGGCATATTGGTCAAAGGTAGCATGTTTGAGAAATCAATACTCAGAGTATCTATAAGGGCTTCAGGAGACAGAAACTAGATATTTTGCTTACTGCTTATGGTTGCTATGGAAGAGTGATGCGTTTTTAAATTGTTCACTAAACTTGGTTCTCTAGTTTATTGAAGAGGCTTTTATCAAATTAAGCTTTTTTTTTGCTTTATGTTATTAGTAACCTGAGAATTGGCTATCTTTCGATATGATGTCCTTCTAATTTTTTATTTTTACTTTGTGTATTTGAATAAAGTTGGAGTTGCCATTTTATACTCTAATCTCATCTCATAACTTGTCTGTAACTGAGTATGGAATCTTATGACACAGTTTTCGTTATGTTATTCTGGATTCTGATTTGGAATGACAATTTTAGTGACTTACCTAAAAAGAAGATGACTTCAGTTAAGTGATCTTTTTTTTGTGACGTTATTTGTGTTGACTATGAGCTAGCCTTATCATAAAGTTAACATCTTACTAATGTAGGCTGTAGCTACCATAACTAGTGGATAAATTCTTCAATGTTAGTGACAGTATGAGCAGTAGTGCTTATGGTTTGAGTGGAAGCCTCTGCTTTTGAATTGACAACCAAACTAGGAAATCAGAAAGTTAATAAAAACACTATCTGGCTACCTAGTGTTTGAACTTCATATCTCAGCTATGAGCTATCACTCTAACCTTGGTTAGCTTATTATTTTCTCTTTTTGAGGAATTCATGAGATTCAGTTACTATTTTTTTCTTTTCAATTTTTTATCACCATTGCAGGTTGCTATGGAGATATTTAATAAGAGGAAATACAAGTATGATCCAAATGAAAAGATGTACACTATTTTAATATATGGATGGTGCAAGGTTAACCGGAGTGACATGGCTCAGAAGTTACTAAGAGATATGCTTGATCATGGGATAGAACCCAACATAGTTACATACAACATTCTTCTAAATGGTATCTGCAGACATGCAAGTTTGCACCCTGCTTACAGATTTGATAGAACAGTTCATTCAGCAGAGGATGTCTTGAAGGAGATGCGTGACAGGGGAATTGACCCGGATGTAACCAGCTACTCAATCATCCTGCATGTTTACAGTCGTGCACATAAACCTGAGTTGTGTGTCTGTATGTTCCGCTCAATGAAAGATAGAGGCATTTGCCCCACAGTGGCAACATACACATCTGTGATAAAGTGCCTTGCCTCCTGTGGGAGATTGGAAGATGCTGAGACCTTGCTTGATGAGATGGTTGCTGAGGGAGTATGTCCCTCCCCAGCTACCTACAATTGCTTCTTCAAGGAATATCGGGGGAGAAATTATGTGAGTGGTGCCTTGCAACTGTACAATAAGATGAAGCAACCTGGTTCACTGACTGCACCGGATATTCACACTTACAACATATTGCTTGGAATGTTTATAAAGCTGAATCGACATGGAACTGTTAAGGACATTTGGAGCGATATGTGTGAAAGCACTGTAGGTCCTGATCTTGATTCATACACCTTGTTGATCCATGGCTTTTGTGCAAGTCAGAAGTGGAGGGAGGCATGCCAGTTCTTCATGGAGATGATAGAGAAAGGTTTTCTTCCCCAAAAGATCACCTTTGAGACGCTGTATCGTGGCCTAATACAGGCAGACATGCTTAGGACCTGGAGGAGGCTGAAGCAAAGGGTTGATGAAGAAGCAGCAAAATTCAGTGATGAATTCAAACTCTATCATATGAAGCCATATAAGAGGTGATCTGTTCATCATCGGGTTGCTACCACTTAAAAAATGTTGTCACTAACAAAATAGTGCAGTTGTGACGGATGCCGATTTCTTGTGCTTGATTTGTGGCGAATGGTAGTGGAGGAGCTGGAGCAGGGTCTCTGGCACCGAGAATGCAAGATGGCAATGGAGTCCGTAAAAGTGCTCAACAAGGGGTTGCGCAACAACAAAGGGTGCCTGGGTCGTCGCATGCGACATCACCTGATGGTGTTTGCAACCTTTCGTGCTGCAGGAGTTCTCCAATACATCGGTGATGATGGTGTTTGCGGTTCGTGCTGCTGTAGTTCTCCAATGTACACATCAGGGATGAGGTCCTGGAGCTGGGGGTGGTTTCGGTGATCACTGGTTTTGACTCACACTGAGGCAACTTGGACATTGGCACTTATCATGGCGGTGACCTGGCTCCTTGATGCAGGCACCGCCGGCCTTGCTTAAGGTTCCCATTGGAACAAGACAGAGGCCAGTGCCGCAGCCAATCGCAACAACTGCTGCTGCCACTATGATCAAGACCACGACAAGCTTCCTCTACGGCCCTGACATGCTGCCGGCCCGGCTCCACTCTGCCAAAGTGCTAACCCAACTCAATTGGACTTCCCACACCGCATTGCAGCTTCCACGCTTCAAAACCAGCCATGCCATGCAGCCAATCGACGCCAACAAGCACGGCCAGATAGGGATGGAAAATGAAAAATAGATATATGAATTATCCAACATTCGTATCAATTAAAACTTTAATACCCTGTGTGGATGTAGACATTGAGACCTGGGATTTGGAATTGGATGTGACTTTTTCCAATTCTGCTGTTTGGATGTCTTCGGTATTGTGACATGGAATTGAAGCATGATTCCACAGTATTCGCCTATAACTAAATTGGCCTCCCTTCAAAACCGAGCTCGACCCCTCTGTGTTGGAGGACTGAATTCACTTACCCGCTCCATCGAACCTCTCTGTGTTGGGTTTAAGTTTAACCGGTCATAATAAAAATAATTATTTTACCAAGAGTTAAAAGATCCATAATATTATATTTGTATTTTTTTTAATTTTATGGAAACAACAACAAATTAGAACGAAACAATACAGAAAATCAAACGAAGAAAAAGACTCGGGAGTCAACATTCAGAGACCGAACGTGACAAAAGAAAAGGTAAAAAAAGGAAGTAGAACGTGGAAGAAAAACAGACAAGGAAAAATAAAGGAACAAAACCTGAAAAAAAGAAACTTAAACCCATACGACATGGACCCAGACATCCTCGGAGATAAAAATAAATAAAAAAAGAACAAAACTAAGAAACTCTTTGTATATATATTTGAATCCGACTCTGTATTATCGCTAGACGCGAGTTGTTCTAATGCATATGAGCACGGACCCAATATGTTTTAGAATCAGACTCCGTATCGCGCTAGACAAGAGCTATTTTAACTTGTATAAGCACGGGTTATATATATATATAACTCCGGATGGAAGAAACTCTCCCGTGTCCGCTAGTTAGAGAGAGACGGACCAAAAAAATGGATGGACGAAAAAATGGGCTGAAATTGTACCATTATTATTAGATAGTATAGATATAGATGTGTATATTTATGTTCATTATAATATTGTTAGTCATCTTTCTATTTTTATTTTCATAGTTATTACTTGAACATGGAAAAAAGGAAAAAAAATCATGAGAAATCCAAACACGAGTTTGTAACAAAGAAATATAGGAACTGACCAAACAGGAAACGATCAGGGAAAGGAGAACAAAAAATATAAAAAAGAGAGGACGTGTGCTCTCTGCTCTATACGGGACCAGACAATAAATAGGAAAAAGAACGTGCTCTTGAATATATTCATTATTACTATATTGTTATTTGTCTTTCTATTTCTATTTCTATTTTCATATTATTACTTGAACATGGAAAAAGGAAAAAATCATGAGAAATCTAAACAAAGTTTGTAACAAAGAAATAGAGGAACCAACCGGACAAGAAACGATAAGGGAAAGCGAGAAAAAATATAAAAAAGAGAGAATGTGTGCTCTATCCTCTATATGGGACCAGCCAATAAATAGGGAAAAAAAAGAACATGCTCTCGAAGGGAAAAGAAATCCGAACTTACGGAAACAGGCATCTGGATTGGACTCCGTTCCGTACATTGATAGATGTCGGCTCTCGTTCCCGTCCTCTCGTTGGTCTCTACGGCAAAAAGGAAAATTGCTGTTTATAATAATATTATTAGGAATAGAATTCTACTCTTTTTTTTCCTATTTGGATTTGGATTAGGAATTGGGTTTTCACCGTCCTCACAAGTAGGTGGAAGGCCAGACAAAAAAAAATGGAACCAAAAAAGAGGTGAAAATTTTGCCTCTTAATTATTAGGGATAGATATAGATACAGATATAGATATAGATACAGATATAGATATAAAAGTATGGAATTGGACTCCGTATCATTGCTAGCTATGAGTTGTTTTAACTCGTATGAGCTTAGATCATGAGTCCGGGTAACATACGGCGTAGGATGCGACCCAATATATATTGAGATCGGATTCATACTCATAATCGCTAGGCGTGAGTTGCCCTAACTTGTATAACTGTGGGACATAAGTTCAGATCGCATTCAAGACACAGAGGGCATGAGTACAGATTGAGAAGTAAAAAAATCGGTACGAAAGAAACACTCAATTACCCCGGTAGTTTGGGAGGGGACGAAAAGAATGAGTGAAGAAATTTTGTTTCTTTAATATTATACTAGCAAATATATATGGCCGTGCATTACAACGGGAGAATAATTTAATGCATTGTTGGTGGCAAGATTGTGGCTACATGGCGAACCCGTGTGTGGGCACAGCGGCCACGACAGCATGCGCGCCTATTGTCACCATCAGGCAACCTAGGACATTAGTGCGCCAAACACCGATAAAGACATGGGCTAGCACTGTGCAATGACGTGATGGGGTGGTATGACACTCGTGTCGGCGTGGCTCTAGTGGTGCTTGAGTGGACGTGGCTCGCTGCGGCGGCATAGGCATGGCTCGATGACCGCGGTTGAGCGAGCGTGCAATCCTTAGAGTGTCCTTAACGATGGAGAAGAGTGGTATGCATAGGAGACCTATCCATGCCATTGGTGCACGCGACGACGCAACAGTTGGTGGAGGTCAGCCCAGCAAGGAGTAGTTCGATCATGTGAGGGTCAGTCGATTGCTCCACTGTCGTTCTTCCTAACAGCAGGTCCTCATAATGTCAGTATGCTTTATGTGTCATTTGCCTTGCCTCATCGTTATTATTCTCCTACGCCCTCTCGAGGGCTCCTATAGGTCTACGACAATCCATTTGCACATGCTAATGAGACTCGTAGATGTGGAACAGGTTAGGACCCGAGAGAGGGAAGGAGAACAAAGCTACCTCTACCCCGACACGAAGATAAAACCGGTGATAAACATGGATTAGGAAGCGGACACGTGAATGTAACGTAACTCGAGCAGAGGATATAATGGATGCAACAAATTCGTGGTGAAAATATATATTAAAAACTTGAAAATACTCATTAAAAAATACGACCAGGTGATTTAGTACTAGAGATCAAAGCATTAGTAAGAAATCAAAATGAGAGTTATATAGTTTGAAAAACACAAAAACCACAAAAAGAAAGGAAAAGTCAGAGCAGACAAAAATTTTATTTTATAGGAGAGAAAAAAGGGAAAAAACACGGAAGAAAAACATATGAGGAAACTGAGAAAAAAGATGCAAAACAGAAAAACAAAAAAAAAGATGGACGAAACTAAAAAAAACAAAACCACGTGAAAACGGAATCTAAAAACACCCGCGGACGGACTACCTCTCCCGCTTAATATTAGGAAAGAGAAAAAAAAAACATCTGACCAACCACGGAACAGGCAGAAACAGAAACGGAAACGATGAAAAAATACATGATGTTTATTTATTAGGAAATCAGATTAGATCGGAGAAATTTATTCTTTAGGATTACTATCAGCGTTACCACGAGACTCCTGGCACGGAGAAACACGGACGGGGTGGTATACTGATAGTCAGGACTGGTTAGTTTTTTTATTATTAGGAGTATAAATAGATAGTGATAATCGTCCATACGCACACGATCGTGTTTCGTTATAGTTGGCCAGATCAAACTCGTACCCAACTGCACATATCAGGCAATTGCTTGTCGTCGAATCCTAGCTGACATGGAAGTGGAACCGATACCAGTGCTATTCTAACTCATATGAGCACAAATCATGTATCAAAGTCCGGATGTAAAAAACTCTTCATCCTACGGTAGTAGAGGGAGACGAACAAAAAAAAATGGACGAGCAATAAAAATGGTCCGAAATTTTGCCTTTTATTATATAAATATAGATATAGATATATACGTTGTATATATATAAATATCTATATCTATATTTAATAATAAAGAGGCAAAATTTATTTCCACCCATTTTTTGTCCGACCATTACTTAACTAACTTTGTGAATGTAGAAAACCGTCTATAGTCCTTCTCTTTATCTCCTATAACTAAAAAGACTAAAAGTAAGACTATTTTTTTGTGCGACTTTTTTTTGGGTCGCTCCTCCCTTCCGGCCATGCGATACCCCGCGCGATAGAAAAAGAAACTGTCATCCCTGCGATCCTCGCCTGCTTTGAAGGAAACAAATCGATCACCTGAAGCCACATGCATGGAAGGAAACAATAATCATGCATGGAAGGAAATAATTGGCAAAGATAAGACTTCTCCCTTCCGGCCATGCGATACCCCGCGCGATAGAAAAAGAAACCGTCATCCCTACGATCACCGCCTGTTTTGAATGAAACAAATCGATCACCTAAGGCCACATGCATGGAAGGAAACAATAATCATACATGGAAGAAAACAATTGGCAAAGATCAAGCAAGACGACTCAATGAGGTTAACCCTTAATTTTAGTGTTTCCAGCATGCAGACCTGAAATTAAAAAGTGGCTGCTCCTTGAGAACATCAGTGGTGCCAAATAAAAGATGTGTAGGTTATACATGATGAGACTGGTGAACCTTCTTCAATTTTCTAAACGAATATTCCCACCATTCGTATATAGGTCTATTCCCATGCGTTTCTTCGTGCTCCAATTAGCATATAATATGAAAGTATTGTTGTGTTCATCACGACTTCCAGTTGATTACTCCCATTAGCATATACTTTCTCTGCCCCAAAATATAAGTCATTATGGGATGTGTGTAAGTCAAACTTTCTCAACTTTGACTAGGTTTATAAAAAATATGTGCAACATTTATATCTCCAAATAAGTTTATTATGAAAATATATTCAATGGTCTATGTAATGATACTAATTATATATTATAAATATTAATATTCTTTTATATATAATTGGTCGAAGTTAAAAAAAGTTGACTTCTCGGAAAGCGAGAATGAATTCTATTTTGGGATAGAGGGAGTATATGAAAGCAGTGTTGAAAATATTTTAACAATCAAGTTCGTCTCTATCTGATTGGTAAGCTTAGACATCATAATGGCATAAATTTTTTTGACTCTCATGGACACCCTCATGGATCAGTGCAAAGCATCCCAATCCTATAGCATACATAAATAACAACCTTAAAGTTATGATATTTTCAAAGGGTAGACAATAAAGACCATCTTAGACGTTTTGGTATTAGAGTATATACGTGCAGACACATAAGCATGGTGATGCAAGTGAGCAGCCAGCAGAAGTCGAGAGTTAGGGAGTGTTTGGATCCCAGGACTAAACTTTCGTCCCTATCGCATTGAATTTTTAGATATCAATTAGGAGGACTAAACATGAGCTAATTATAAAACTAATTACATAAGTTGTGGCTAATTCGCTTGCCAGTACCGTGTACAGGATGGCATGGAGATGTGGTGAAACTTATTCATGGATTTGTTAGCGCACGAAAGAAATGGATATCGGAAATCTCTTCCTCTCGGTATAAAAAATGAACTTGGCCGCATCACGGAAAGATCTACACAGTAGAGTTTGTGAGCCTGCGACGCCATGCTCTCTGTTACTGTGTAAATTTCACTAACTTAGCTTTTTGGATTAAATGTCACTTTAACGTCGGTCATATACTTTTATATTATTGTTATCTTATCGTACGATCTTTGTATTTTTAGTACAAAAGTTTAGCTGTCCCGCAGCAACGTACGGGCACGAACCTATTTACATATATACTCGAACCTGTGTGTATATGATTATATGAAGATGCAGTGAAACTTATTCATAGATTTATTAACGCATGAAAGAAATGGATATCATAGAATTCTTTGTGCCGATATAAAATATTATCTTAACCCTATTACGAAAAAGTCTATACAGTAGAGTTTGTGAGCCTGCGACGTCGCGCTCTCCGTGACTGTGTTAATTTCACGAACTTTGCTTTTTAAATTAAATGTCACTTTGACGTCGGTATTTAATTTAACAGTATTGTTATCTTATCGTGCGATCCGTATGTTTTTAGTACAAAAGATTTAGTTATCTCGTAGCAACGCACGGACACGCTACCTAGTATAACTAGGAATCCTAATCCACTATATGTCTACGATTTCGGGTGAATAGGAACCTTAAACCTAATAAAAAATATAATAATATGGACAACTAGGAATCTTAATTTAATTAGATCTCTCCAATTTCGAGTAACCGGAATGGGAATCTTAATCCAAATGTAAAAATATAAGAATAAAAATTTAATAAAGAGGAAAGAAGGGTAGAATTTCTTTCTTTCTTTCTTTCCTTTCTTTTTTTTTTCTTTTTCACTTTTTCTGGTTTGTCCGTTTTTACTTGTTCCAAGTACGTGTTGCTTTATGTTCATTTAGACGTTTTTTACTTGGCTCCGAATATGTTCTGATTTTTTTTCGTGGCTATTTTCTAGAATATATTCTAATTTTTGTCATGACTGTTTTCTACTTGGTTTCGAGTATCCTCAGAATTTTTTCTCGTGGATGTTTTTGACACTGGCTCCACTTTTCTGATTTTGTTTTCATTGTTTTCTTTACCTGATTTTTTTGTGTTCTAATAAATATAATAATAATAAAAACAAATAATAAATAAGAGATCACATCTATTTTAATCTTTGACTACTTAGGAAACAAAGATTTTTACCACTATGTTAATTTAATTTTTGATTCGAACTTATAACCCGTGGTACAACTCACTACGTATTAGATCCGGTTGCAACGAATGGACATGTTTGCTTGTAAACATAAAAATTGAACCTTGACCTTTCACTAATATACAAATATTTCCACTATTAATTTGTTAACGTAGTTTTGATTAAGAACAAAACACATTATTGTTCAAATATGGATAAGTTGATTGTCCAACTAATCTTATGATGAAGGAGCAGCTTGTTATCCAACTAATCTAAATAAATGTGTTTGCAAACTATATGAATATGATGTAATAGTGCAATCCATGATGAGAGCTGCCATGTAAAAAACCGAGGATTAGATAAGTAATATTTTGGTTGTTTTTCATAAATGTTTGATTGCTTTTTTTTCTCGATGCGACTATAAACATATTTGATAGTTTAGAAAAAAAAATAGAGTAAAAACATGTCTATTAGTATCTCCTGCGGTTGCAATAATGGATGTAGCCAAGATTTTGAACGCGTCTATAAACTTGAACCGTTGCGGTTGATTGATTCGAATTCGATCACGAGTTAATTTGCCGGACTTCAAATAAAAAGAGCAGGTCAAGACTCGTGGTCGTTACCGGATTGCCGCTACACGAATAGTCAATCGGCCCTGGACTGGACTCCTCCGGACTGCTCCACCGCTCGTGGGCTCATGGCCGAATCCGAATCACCTGACCCCACCGTGTCCGAGGCGATTCGTAGAACACCACAACTCGCACCTCCTGCCCCCTTGCTCAGTACTCATATAAACACGCCACGTTCCTAATGCATCTCCAAACGCAGACACCCAAGAAGACTCGAAAGAAGAAAAGCTCGAGGGTTGAGACAGCAACGGCGATGGCATATCGGCGGTTCTTCGACTACAATCCTTACGGCTACTACTATGCCGCCCCGTACAACTACGACTCTTACTACCAGCAGCAGCCCGCGGCCACCCGCAGGTCCACCAGGGGCATCTTTGCGGGCGCCGAGCCGGCGGCCGCGAAACCCGCGCCAAGGGCGAGGAAGACGAGGGAGACGAAGACGTCGTTCTCGATCCCAGTCCACGGGCCCGACTCGGATAACGAACCGGAGCCAGAGCTGAAGCAGAAGGCGCCGGGAGCGCGCGCGAAACCGGTGGCGCAGGCGATGTCCGCGAAGGAGGCTGTGGTGAGGATGCAGGCGGCGGCGCGCGGGTTCCTGGTGAGGAAGTCGGTGCGGGCGGTGCGCGAGGTCGCGCACGAGGCGGAGCAAGTCCGGAAGAAGATGGCGTCCGAGGCGGAGGCCCTATTCACGGACCCCAGGGCGCGCGTCGCCGTCGGGGAGGCGCTGATGAGGATGCTGCTACGGCTCGACGCGGTGCGCGGCGCGCGCGACTACCGGAGGAGGGTCACCAAGCGAGTGCTTGTGCTGCAGGACGCCGTCGACGCGCTCGAGACTAAGCCGGCGCCGGCGCCGGCGCCTGTGGAGGACGCGACAGAGGTCGACGCACCTGAGGCGACGGCCGTCGAGACGGTGGAGGAGAGCGCGTCAGCGCCGGAGTTGGCAGACGCCGTGGAGCGCGGTGGTGAGATGGAGAGCATCAAGACAGCGGTTGACACGCCCACCCAGGTGGAGGTCGACGAAGCAGTAGCCGCCAGCGATCCTGAGGCGAAAGCGGGAGAGGGAGAGGAAAAGGAAGTGGTGCCGGGCGACGCCAATGTTGATGTCGACGAACCGGAGGATTCGGACGCGGAGGGCGAGTGGGGGATGGTGATGGAGGAAAACGCACTCGTGGCAGCCACGCCCGACGACCAGGAGCCACAGCGCAAGGAACCGGCGTGTCCGTTGGAGACCATGGGGACTGCAAGTGCCGGCGCCGCCTCTGACGGTGTGGACGCGAGGAAGGTGAAGGAGATGGTGGCCGCGCTGTGCGAGCAGAGCGCGCAACAGTGTGCGGTGATCGGCGCGCTGGCCGAGCGTGTGGACGCGCTGGAGCGTACCGTGCGGCGGATGGAGGATGCCGAGAGCCGCCGGCGCCGGCCCAAGAAGCTGAGCACATAGGCCAAGTGAAGCATCAACGTTTTCCAGCGATTGATGACACACCAGCCATTAATAGAGATTTAAACAGTTTTAGAATTTTACATTGCTTCTAATCTCGGCCTTTACTATTCCAGACACTAGATTGTTTATATTTATTTTATTATAGTAATGGAGTTCTTCACAGTTTTTTTTTTTTTTTTTTTGCCTTTTGAACTCTTGGTATTGAGACTACACATATTTACCTTTAAGATAAGGGCAACTGCTCCATTACTCCCTTTTTAAAAAATGGTGCGAATCTCAAAGCAGGTAATTAAAGGAAATGATTATTTTACATTATATTGCAACAGGGTCCCGCCTGGGCCTGCCCGTCCAAGCCCATCCCCGAGTCCAGCCCTGACGCTCTTCTCCGTTATTCCGTCGGAGACGGCGTTGCCAAATAGAAGGACTACCGCGAGTCGCGAGCAGCAGACGCGCCCATTTCGTCGTCGTGCTTTGTGGAAGGACTACGGCGGCGCCGCCATCGCCGTTGAGTAAGAAGACGCCATGCCACCGGCCACCGCGCTCCCATCGCCCCCACTGCGCCTCCTTCCCCCTCCATCCGCGCCCCCACCGCACCACGCTCCACCGGCCGTCGTAGCGCAGGGCACACCGGCTGGGGGGAGGCAGCTGTCCGCGCCCCCATGGCCCCCGCGCGCCGAGGGAGGCGCCCACCCGTGCCGCGCCCCGCCGCGCCCCTGGACCGGATGGATCTCAGCGGCAACTTGCTCCATGGCGGCTGTCCTCAGGCCTCAAGGAGCTCAAGAACCTGAAATTTGTCTCATTGTCCGGCAACAATTTTAGCGGTGAGATACCTTCCGGTTTGGGCCAGTTGAGGTCGCTGGAATTTCTTAATATGTCCAACAGTTCTGTATCAGGGGAGGTTCCTGTTGATCTTGTGGCACTGTAAAATCACACTGTTTACTATCTGGGGACGAGATAACTGCTGCTGCCGTGTCACCGGTCCATGTAATTACTGTTCATTCAGTTACACGTGAACTGTTTCCTGAATGAGACACGGCCGTGCACTTCTAGTGGTGGCAGCAGCAGCAGTTGCAGCAATGGTGATGGTGGCTTCGGTATCAAAGAGATTGCTGCCATAGCTTCAGCATCAGCCATTGTCGTGGCTCTGTTAGTTGCACTGACCAGTGGCGGAGCCACAGGCATACCCTGCAAAACCGGCGGCAAGTAATATATATATACTATATAATACAGTGTATACATTGTATTTATAAAAAAGAAAATGAAAAAGCATACCTGGACACCATCGCTTGATGACGGGAGGCCCATGTAACGCGGCCCACTCGACAAGTGAACCCATACGGTATGCGCGCTCTGAGTCTCCGACTCTGTACACGATGTTTCTGTTTCCTAATTTGAGTACGGAGCCACGGAGGAACACACCGCCTGCGCCTGACGCACTGACCGGGTGAGTTGAGTCGGTGCCGCCCTGACCTCTGGTGCCTGCCGGCTGCCGCCCTCCGCCCTGCTCTGAATTGGAGGATCGCCGTCTATTTCTCGCACGTCTCGTCTGCAATATTTACAGTAATTTAATCTTTGCTCTTCAGGTTTTTATAGAAAATTATTGTTTAGCCTTTTGAATGATTGTCTAGTCACTTTCGTTAAGCGAGATGTTTTTTTTAAAGTTGATGAAAATGATATAGTCAAGACATTCATGTCCCTTTGTAAGCGTCGAATAAACCGTTGAGAAAAATAGCATTGTAAGTCTCTGGTACTCTTTTATGCCCATATTTGAACTATTTATATTGTATTTAGTGAATGGTCTGAATCTAATCCTTAAATTTATCGAATCATATTGTAAAATTTACAATTATTACCGAATTACTAAAATAGATTTATCGAATTGTATATGAAAATTTTTAAGCAGCATACCCTAAGCTAAAATGCTAGATTCGCCACCGGTACTGACCCTGTGCATCTGCACAAGGAAATATCCTCTGAGACCATCAAAGCGCTCTTTAGGGAGAAGGAAAGTCAAGGTTTCCGCAGATGTTGAAATTGGAGCCCCACTGACATACGAGACTGTTGCCGCTGGGAATTTCAATGCTAGCAACTTCATTGGCAACGACGGCTTTGGCGCGACATACAGAGCCGAGGTGGCACCTGGAGTTCTTCTGGCAAAAGAGGCTTGTTATTGGGAAGCAGCATGTCCCTGTAATTTACTGTAATTGTCCCTGTAATTTCTTTATACGGCAGTTGTCCCTGTAATTCATTGTAATTGTCCCTTGATTTTGTTGCAGTGCTTGATTTTTGTTACCTTGAAGGCTTCAACACGACACTCCCTGAACTTGTTTGTCATTCTTTCAGTTTCTCTTAGACTTGCTACTTGAGTTTTACATGTCCATTGGTGAGGGAGTTCAGTGAGCTAGGGCTAGGGTAGCTTGCTGGTTTTTTACTTGTGCTGCATAACTGAAAGGTTTGCACCTGTTTATTTCCTTCCGGTGTTGTGGAAGAAAATCGCAGTTTGCAGTCAATTTTCGCCTATAAATGTTGATGTTACAGCAGTGACATCAGGGCTAAGGAAGTTGTGCAAGCTTTTCTGAATGAAAGCGTGCTTCGAAATTCTGCGTCGATAGGATTGATGCTGCTGCATTCACCGAGTTGCTGTCCAAAATATGCACTATTTGTGTCGACTTCAGGGTAAATTGGAAAGGGAGTCAGAATTGCGTTTGTTGCAATGGGAATGAAACTATTCAACACTTATTCCTGGACTGCCCTATTGCCATAATGATTTGGAGGATTATCTTCTTTGCTACTAGTTTAACTCAACCTAGATCAATCAGCCACATGTTTGGTAACTGGCTGTCTAATCAAAATAAAAGGATTAGAAATTTGATTTGGGTGGGAGTGGCTGCTATGTGTTGGGCTATTTGGAGATGCCGTAATGATGTTGTTTTTAATAAAATAAAATCTAACTCTATTATGCAGGTCATTTTCAGGGGAGCGTACTGGTTACGCTTCTGGGCCCAGCTGCAGCGTGTAGAGCAAGCTAAGGACGCGCTCTCGACAATAAGCAAGAAATTAGAAGTTATTGCTCTAGAGATATCCAATAACGGATGGAAACAATTTTATTGTTTAAGTTAGCGTCTTGGTCATGTTATAAGACCTTGGCTTTCTTTTTGGTTTTATCATTATCTGTAATTTTGGGCTGTGTACATCTACGGATGTAGAGGCCGGATGTTTATCCATTATCTAAAAAAAACGTATGTTGATACGACACCACATATTATAACAAAAGTAAACGATACTCCTGCTCATAGTATACCAAGCTACTCCCTCCCTCTTCCCAAAAGGAAAACATGTCACCCGGACCTGGCCTAAGATTCAAAATCTGTCCCATATCTGCATATATCTTCCCTGATCTGGAGACAGTGATGTACATGATCTGTTATCACCCACTCCTACTAGTACTAAAATCTGATGGTACTGTTTCTTTTTCTCATGGCAGTACCAGTACCTTAGGTAAAAAGGAATCTTTCTGTATGGGAAACATCAGTAGGATGAAATGATGGCCAATCATGATCATAGATCATACGTTCAATTCCAGTTCTCTGTACAAGAATAAATGGGGCGTCATGTGAGTACCACAACACTTGTAAGTTCCACTAATACTAATATAATAACATACCATGTTCTCAATTTTCGTAATGTACATATTAAGAGTCCACAATGAATTCAAGACTTGAAATCCTTAATTTCAATTTACACTAACACAGTTTGCGGAGAAGCAAGGGATGTGCTCTCCCAGACAACAAGCAATAATGCTTTGAACTTGGAAACAGAATAGAACACGATGCGTGCTACTGCTAACAGTTCAGCAATCTGAGAGTTTTAAGTCTAATCTTCTGTTGGCTTGACAACTGCTTCAACCTCTGCGATTGTACTCTCAGCTTCTCCAATCTCAGCACCTTGCTCATTTGACTCCTTCAGTTCAGCCTGTAACGATACAATCAGTTGAAATGTACGAAGAAAATATCATGTAGTCGCCAAAAAAAAAAAAATCATGCACAGCATTTTTATGCCATACCAGTGTTGCTTTCAAGTCAGCCACTAAAACATTCTCCTGCAGAGGTGAAGTTCAAGTTTCAACTACTTTGTGAGTTCTGAGATCAGAACAGCAGACAATTTCAACAATGACTTTTCACAATCTCAGTTACATGAAAAGGAGAAAACCACTTCAGTGGCTTCATGTGGTGCCTGACAAACGCAATGCGTCTGAGAAATGAGAAATCGGTTTAATGCTAGGACAAAGAAAACAACAACGCAATGATAAACAACCAGTTATCCATTAGCAGATGCCTAATTTTTTATACCTTCTATGTGTAGGAGAAGCCGGAAGCAGCAATGGCAGCACTTTCACACATGGAGAAGAGAGTTGTAATGGTAGAAACGATGCTGGAGGCTACAAAGCAGTAGCAGGCTAAAGCAGGTTAAAGACAACTAATCCTCCACTTCTAGTTATGTTTTTGCCTGCTACATTTTTCTTCCACCTTCCAATCATGATCACTAATGAGCTATTGAGCTATTAATCAGAAGTATATTACTTCACACTGGGCATGACTAATTTTCATGTCTCTCGCTAACTTTTGTTTGCCAAGTCTTGGGATTCCTATCGAAGATTAGGCAGACTATTTTTTTTGTCAAACTTGAAATTGGATAAGTTGGGATTCCTATCGAAAATTAGGCAGACAATTTTTTTTTGTCAAACTTGAAATTGGATATAAAAGGTATTCGTCCTACCTATGCATGGTTCCATGTCATTCTTGTCATAAAACAAATTTTGTACTGCTGTTTTTTATAATAACTAGCAAGATTTTGCATTTGCTGTTTGGATAAGCTGTCCAGATTATGCCTTTGTTGAAATAATGAAGTGCATTTTTTTTGTATGTGTGTTTGAATTTCATGAAACATTAAAGACCAAAGGTAGTGCAATGATTATATCAGAGTTCACCCATGTTTTACCCTTCTATCCTGCAGTTATGACTAGGAGTGATTAAACCAAGGTTAATTCTTTGTTTCCTAATAATGAAGAGAACGGAAAATATATATATAACAGAAATATTTTAGCCTTTGTTTTGCCAAACCGCCGAAAGTGGCTAAAATTGTAAATACTTGATGATACTTCTTTCACACACACTTTAACTTGTCTTAGGGAAGTGGTTGCATGCATACATGAACGATAAGTATGATTTTTTTCTGTAATGAATGTTTAAGCTAGCTGTAATATTGCTCTGTCAGCATTGAAACTTAATTCGTGGAATGAACCAACTTTGCCTTGCAGCTGCTCTTTTTTCTTCCTTCTGAGACATATATGATTCGTGAAATTATTGTTGTTTCTGTATGGATTTACTTTGTGGCAAGAAATTATTATACAATAAATTATACACTCAATTGGCAAGGAGTGTTCTTTTCATACTGCTCTGTATATGTTTGTTTGCGGGGTGAGGGTTTGAGGATAACTTTGCAATACAAGAAATACTTTTAGGATGTGAAAAATAATTCCCGTACTGAACATTTAGGTGCTACTTTATTGCTTCTGCTGATATATATTTTTCCTGCTTTTGCTTCGGTGATTTTCTCCATTACACACACAGAACCACTTTTCCTATGCAAGTTTTCTTGACATTGATGTGTTAGAAAAAGGTATTCAAAAGGGCCTATTAATCATTACCAATTTGATAATTTCTTGCAGTCAAAAGAAACCTCAGAGGTTGTTCGGTATTTACTATCTGTAGGGAATCTAGACATGAAACATGACACTAGCTTTCATAGTTCATTATCATGGATCATTATTATCATAAGCCAGCTTGTTTCCTTACGATGCGACCAAAGTATTTTGTTGGCGTTTAGATATTTTAAACTGTTGATTTGATATATGCTCGAGCTCTGTTTCTTTACATGAATGTGGAGGCTTATTGATGTTGTTGGCCTTATACTGGTTCTTTTTCTGATGTGGATGCCTTGGATCTTGCAAACAGGAACTTGCACTATTGCTACAATGATACTTTGGAGTTGTACTGGGTTCGAATCAATATATCCTTACCTCACAAAGTGGTTTCCTACTAAATACCTGAGTTACAAAGCGATATATCCTAATGTTTTTTTTTGGTCATGTTTGACAAACAACGCTACAGTAGGGAAACAAACATTACTACTCTATGTTCTTGCCATGCCTGTATGCCCCCAGTTGTCATCCATCGGCAGACTTTCCTGCTCCCTTTTATCTTCTCGCTCAGTCTCTTGAAGTTATCATAGTTTTCAGGAAAATCATATACATGAAACCTGACAAAGTGATTCTGATCATATTACTTGTGTTGCGATAGTTTAAACAACAATCACCCTGTTCGCTGATGCTGAAATTTGGCTTATGTTAATGCTTATGCTGAAATATTGTGAGAGAAAAACAATGTTCCATAGTTGAAAAGTAGTTCTGAATAAGCTCAAGCGATGCGTGTGGCTCAAAGTTTTAGTAGAGCTCAGCATAAGTTGCGCCTTAAATGATCTCATGTCAGGACTTGAATGACGACATTCTATCAGGATGCATTCAGTACAATCTCCGTATGCAGATTATGTGGAGTTTTACTTCTAATGGCACTTATACAGTACCGTCTCTGTATGCAGTCATAAACCATAGGGGGTTTACCCCAGTTTTTGTAAGTGCCATCTGGAAACTTATTGTTCCACCTAGGATTCACTTTTTTCTATGGCTGTGTTTCTATGGGCTGCGCTGCCGGCTGCTGCTGCAAAAAAGCAAGCACTAGCACTGTTCATTCAGGCTTTAAAGAAGCCAGCTGCAGCCTGCTGTACGCGCCTATAAGTTTCTGATCCTTCCTGGTTACGATCTCTTATACTATTGGTCTTAATATTGGTCATGATTTTGAGTCGGTGGCCAGATTTTGGGTTGCCAATAAGAAGCATGGTGCTGTGAATACTATTTCCACAAAGATCAAAGTACAACAGCAGAAATGGTATCTTGGAGGAGTTTATCAAAACAGCTGGAGGACATAGCAGGGCGACCTCCGCGGAACGAAATGGCTTCGTCATTAAGATTGGGTAAAATTGGATGATCGGCCTTTGGCTCCTAGCGCCGTGACTTTAGGGACGAGTGATGTTTCGGTAATCAGCGCCGCTGCTACTGTCAACGTTGAGTTGGGGAGTACTTTTGCTGTTAGTTTGAGTAACTCTGGTGAGGTTCAGTCCTAAGACTTTCTTAGGGTGGGCACGCCTAAACGTTGTGCATACACTGTTGTTGCATTTTAAGTATAAAAGCGGGGGTGCTCTTTTTCTAAAAAAATATCTGTTATTCTGAAAATAAGCATCCTCAAATGTCTCAAAAAACTGATTCAAATTATTCTTTATCATATCTATAATTATTATCAATATTTCTAATGAATTATAGCAAATAGAGGTATGGATTGAATAAACCAACAAAGACCATATGCAAGGACGATGTATACTTTTTCAAACTTTCCCGTTGTCATTTTTTCATAATCCCGGCCTTTACTATTCCAGACAATAGATTGTTTTTATTTAGTTTGTTACTAGTTAAATACCCGTGCGTTGCAACGGGTACACATAATATCATGATAACATATGTATGAGCGCGTGTTATACTATATCTAAAATAGATATTGCAATCGTGATATTTTACAAGTTACAGTACACGAGCATTCACTTTAATCATAACAAATTTGTGTTTTACAATATATATTTTACAATATATTATACAATTAAGAATCTAATCTCTCAATGTTTCGACCAAGAGAACGTGCTTTGCACGAGTCACCAATCAAAGATAATCCAGAAGATTTTCAAGTCCAAGATGCGGCATCTAACTTCTTACAGCTGAAGCGTGCAGATAGTTGAAGCTGTAGTTAGAAGTATCCTGCACATAAGTTGTTTGTTAATTTTTAAAGTTAAAGTACTGTTGATATATCTTGAAAAAATATGTATCGTCGTGTAATGCATTACCTCTTTCATAGAGTTAGAACCTCTTTATATACAATATTCTTTGTGAATATATCCTTTGTCGGTCTCTTCTTCCCCTCCCCTTTCCCTTTTCCCTTGTTCACGTCCTTTTCAGCAGCCGACAGATGACATATTTTCTTAAACGATAAACAAAATGATGATATACCATATTTTGCTAAATTAGAAATAATATTTATGCATGTACCTATGCACTCATATGTACATGTGATCAGTCTAAGAATTGTCTAATACTCATAAGTTTAAATACTGTACCTCTACACATTTGAAACACGTAATTTCTGATTCCGGTTAGATTGAAAGAAAGTAGGTAAAAGTATAAATATGTGCGGTTATTACATTAAAATGGTCAAAAGACGAATGGATCATATATCGAAAACCTTTTTTTTATCTTCAGTATAAACTCCCTCTGTTTCTTAGGTTTAGGAGGGTTAGGGGCGGAGAATCGAACTTCCTTGTCTTCGAAACAAAGTAACTTTAGTACCGGAAAAAGTTGACAAAAAATTGAGGATCTAAACAACACCATAGATTTCAAACCTACCCATCCCCAACCATAGAAAAGCATGGCTGAATCTTTTATTTTTTAGAGGTGGTTGCAACAGCCGGGGCAGATAAGTTATATTGACAACTACCAATTTGCCAGTGATCACAAGTTTCGATTAAAATCAATTTCAGCAGAGAAGACTTATTGTAGTCATATGAGCCTTTCCCTAAGGAGGGGCCTCAACAACCAGTTTTCTATCGTGTTTCGATGATTAGGTGCTATTTGTGGCCGCTGTCCCAACGGACCTATTAAGATGACACGAGCGATCCGTATTTGCATATCATCAAGGCAACTCTATGAACTTGCAAGTAAATAGCAACATGTGTTCAGGAAAAAAAGTTTCGTTCCACTTAGTTTTTTCATGCCCAATACCTATGTACAAGCAAATTTTATGGACAAAAGAAATGAAATGTGATTTGCATGGCAGGATGAGGACTGAATTGGCGATCATCAGGCAGTGCAAAAAACTCAAAATTCCAACAAAAATAGATGGACTAAAACCAAACAAACTCACTACAAATTACCCAAACAACACGATATATGTTCTTGTTCAAACAAATGAGCTCACTTTGAACTATCCAAAATGCACTAAATCTAAAGCATTGCCATATTGCAGAGATAGAAAAAAAGGAGCACATTTAGCTTCCAGTTGAGTAGTTG